CCCCCCCCCCCCGCCCCCCCCACGCCTCTTTAATGCATACGTGTATTACTTGCCAATGGTATATTTTAAATTTTAAATATATATATATATTTTTTGCAGATCGTGATCCTCCAAACAAAGACAGTGAGAGCACCAACTTTGGACATCATTTCCACCCACTGTATACCATCTGCCATGTCAGATGATCTCAAGATCTGATATCAGATCATCGTGGATGCATTTCTTTGTTACTAGATTGGTGATTATTCTTCTCATATTTAGATATTTTCCCATAATATCTTTTTCTCATGCTCCTTATGAGGCCTTTTTTGTAATGACCGTGAGTAGTAGGTTACTTAACAGGCTCTGTGAGTTAAGAGTGTCTATGTTTGTAATCATTGTTAGGGAAGAAGGAGATGCAGAGGCTAAGAGGGGTTGGAGCGATAACTCTTTTCTTCTCATTCTTTTACCCTTTTCTTGGTTGGGTGGGGGCAGTCTGTTATAAGGAAAAACTTGAGATGGAAAGCTTATGTATTTTGAGAACTTTGAACATTGAAAAAGTATTACCAGGAAGGAGACTAGTCTCACAAATGCCCTGGCTTTATGAAATTCATTATTTGTCTATTTCTAATCATTGTTTGTTGCTTTGCTCTTGCTCTTGCCCTTTCTATATTCTGAGTTGATTTGCTCTTCTCGAGTCATGAGTGGTGAAGTGTTCTTTCCCAAAAAAAAATGTCCCATTCTATCTTTCCCTCTGAAGAGAATGTTGTTGTTTAAGAAAATTTTGTTTTAAGGATGCTATAATGTATGATGGTTGCCACAAGTTTTGTACGAATACTGTCCTTGAACTGGTGGTTGGTTTTGAATATTTTGAGCCCCCCGCCCTCTTCCCCAAAGCAGAATAGTTTCTGGACATTCTGACCTTGTGCAAGGCTATGCTTTAAGGGCGTAGACAGTTTGTTAGAGCTCTCTAAAAAAGTTCAAAGGCAGGAGAAAATGGGACTAGCCCAAGGTAGCTTGCTTAGGTAAACATCTCTGTGCCTTCTCCAAATGAGAGTGTATCATTTTGGAAGTGTCCACAACAATTTTCTTTGGATAGGCCAGTCGTACATGCTTCATGTCACTCGAATTATTTGGATGATTTCCTAATGAAGCTTAATCATGAATCATGCTACAAGTATAGAATTTTTTGACAGAAAATCTTTACAGACAACACATGACGTGACATCATTGAAAGATGAAAAAAAAAAAAACAGTCTAATCACATTTTGCCACGTCAGCATCGGTACACATTCTATCAAATTTTTCTTGTACTCGTGGCTTTATTGCTTAGTCATTGACTAGACAAACCCCACCGTTATCATTCGATTTTACTTCTTTTCCTCACATTATTCAGTTATGCTAGAAAAATATGGTCAGTGACATGATTTTTTGACACACATACATTTGGTAAATTTCTATTGGCAGTTGAAAAAAAAATTAAATCAAAAGCTATCAATCAAAAATTGCCAAGTCGATTCCTAGAAAAAGGCATGTCATTGAGTCCGTCTCTTCAGCTTTTTCCCAGTTTATATTTCTTAAAAGTCAGAACTCTCCAATTACGGGCCAACAGTGAGTGTCAAGGTATAAAGATTGGACCATTCACTGCAGCAGTAGTCCTGTCTAGTGGCTCAAGTATTGTTGGTCACAAAGAATGGGCTTTCCATTATGCATTCGCCATGCTTGTAGAGGGCTCTCTTTCTTTACATGTAAATTTTGATGCAAGTTTTGTGATGTTCATCATGCACTGGTTTCAAACGTTTAAATCGTAACAAACACGTCTCATACATTTCAAAAATATGCAGTAGAAAAATCCCTGGATAATCTCCGTTTAAAAATTCATCGAAAGTAAAATGCAGTCAAATGTCTAATATAATTTGGCAATTTTAAAAAGGGAATATCACGTTTAATTAATTTCTTTCAAAAATGTGCAACACGCTTCTCAATCTTTAATAAATATGTATTGAAAGGACTTCTACACGTTTCTGTCAAATTTCGTGCAAACATACTCGCATCTTAAATTCCTAGTCATTAGTCCAAGTGGAGAACAAAATTTAATTTCATAAAGTTGAATGTATTTGGCTCACATTACTATTTTGTAGAGATTTCTTTCCATAGCGGGAAATGATCGTGCAACTATAGCAAAATATTGAGATCTCTTTCACTCTTTTAAAAGTTGAGGACTAATTTTCAAAAGCTAAAAAATTAAGACGACGTCGTAGAGCAGGCTTTTGCTTGTCGTGCAATATATCGTTTCGTACTACTACAAATATATATATATATACAACTGCTCTGTTTTTTTATGAAAAAATATCTAAGCTTCCAGATTTGTGAAAAATCAATCAATTGGCTGATCGCTTCTTTCTATCATAATCTCTGTAAGTTGATTCTCTCTGCATTCTTGTTTTTATTATTTGTGTAAATTTACGTAATCTACAAAACAGATGCCCACACGAGTCTGGAAAGGGCTAGGGTTTGGAGGTTTTACTGTAAAGTTTGACGTATGCTTCTATATACTCATTGCTATATAAATCCTTGCATATTTATTTGAATATGGTATTTTGTGTTGGAGACTAGGAATGGCGACCGAACAACCAAAGCCGGCGACTGAGGACGCAAAGATCGATCTATTTGAAGACGATGACGAGTTTGAGGAGTTCGAAATTGGTCAAGGTAATTTTTGGGATATTTACGCGCTATTTCTGTCATTGTGCCTTTCTCCTGTAAATTTAAATTTGAAGTGTTATGTCTGGATTTACCTGAGTGAACGAAGTTCAGCTGTTTATTTGGATTAGTGTCTTTATTCTACTGTTACTAGGTAACTTGGGTTAAAAATAAAAACCATTATTAATAATACACAGCAATCAAAAACTTTACTCACTTCGTAAGACAAAAAGAAATATTTTCAATCTAATTCCAATTTGTCCCTTGTTCCCTGAATTATGCAACCCAGCGAAGCTGTATGTTTTGGTCAAACTTTCAAAGAAGTTGTATTAGTGTTTCAAGTGAGAAAAGATCTACATAGCTACATAGTTAATAATATTCTAATCCAATCCAAGTAATGGAAATGAGGAAATAAACCAATGCAAGTGATAGGCTGTTTTTTAAGTGAAAAACATTTCAAAGGGGGAAAACCACGAGATATAATTTGATTTCAACTTCTACCAAGTCACCATGGATTTTCAAGGTTATACCTAGACAATAGTAGTGGCTCAGCGTATCATCAAGAATAAGCATCTATTTCAGCATGGTCAGCTATGTTTTGTTTTTTTCCTTTTATTTCTTTTGTTGCTTCATAGGATGATTACTCGAATTCTGCTGTATAAAGGGGGTCATTCAGCCAGTCGATCTAGCTTAAAGCACAAATAAATTCCTCCAGATATCTTTACTATGTAAATTGGAAGTTTCTTGCTAACATAGAATTTGCAGAATGGCTTCTGGTAATTTATCAAAGTAGGCAAACCTATTGATTTAAAGTGTAATGAGAACAGTGGCCTCATTGGAAGATACTAATTGATTTTGTACTCCGTCATCTGTGGCAGTGATAGTCAACGAGGAACTGTCATGCCCAGATTCACTAACAACTAGACTCCCAGACATAAATCAATATGTCAAGGACCTAGTTCTAGATTGCAAGAGAAGAAAGTCAAGTAAATTCAACGCAAAAGGCTTCATGCCATGACTCAAAAGTCAAAAGTATACTTGCTCAAGAGACTAATTTCTAAGCAAAATGTAAAGAGTTGACTCTCTTGACCTGTCGTTTCCAAATATACTACATGCAACCAAGTGGTTAGGGCAGTACTAGAGACCATAAATCTGCCTGATATTATGTGAGAGAACAAAATAAGGAGCCTTTTTAGTGGAAAACTCACTATCCTTCTCTTTCTCACTAACGGGCTGCTCTCCACTGTTTCAAAGTTTGCTGCCAGGTGGTGAAGACCACTATTTGGCTAATGAAACTTGGCATTTATTATTACCATTGACACCTGTATTCATAACCTTACAACTTCTTAAATTCCGCTTATGACAATGTAGTTCTACTTTTTTTCTGTACATCCTTGACAATTTGCTCTTTGTAATAGTCCACTCAACTGTTATTCATACGAATATATGGATTACATACATATATGCATATATCTAACACTCATACACACATCAGGCAGTTAGGCATCTAAAAGTACTATGAATTTGGCATGCGCTTGAGGAAGACGCTCTTCTCAAGTGAAATATGGGTTGTTACTAGGATCCTTTTTCTTATGCGTTGTTCCATTTATAATGGAGCATGTACCGTCAAAATATAACTGAAAATTGTTTGTTCAGTGGAAAAGATAGTGTAAAAAAAAAAAAAAAAANCCTGAGATTATATGTTTATTAGAACCATTCCAAATATGAGTCAAAGTCCTTAAGCATTCAATAAAGTATAATTCAAATGCAGATGTGTTAGTGTTTTTAATTTTAAAATTTCAATTTGCAATTCGAAGAAGTTACTTATGTGCCATGAGTTCACCGATACTAGTTTAATCTGTATATCGATACTGCTGTTTCTGAACAGATTTAACTTCTCTGAAAGTTTTTTCCTGTTATATTCCTCTGAACTTTCGAATATTGAGATTGATTTTGAGTTTCAATACAATGTAAATCTTTTCAACAGTAAAGCATCATTTCTCTGATTGTTTTGTTGATTATTCATGTGAAATTAGTAGAGTGGGATGACAAAGAGGAAGACAAAGAAGTGAATCAGCAATGGGAAGATGATTGGGATGATGATGATGTCAACGATGATTTCTCCCTGCAGCTTAGGAGAGAACTCGAGAGCAGCACCGAGAAGAATGAAGCCAAGTCTACATGAAACAGTTGTTTTAAGCAGATGCTTTGTAGATTTTCAATCAAAACTTGGGAGTGTTGTTATTTTATATGACCACCTGTTGCTGAAACATCTTTAATTCCACCTGCTGAACTTCATATGAAATTTACTGGTTGTGAATTGTGAAGTTAGCTGCTATTCAATTCTTATACTGAGGCACATGTCTATACAAAAAAAAAAAAAAAAGGACCAATTGAATTTCTCCCATCTCCAAAATGCTGGAAATTTTGTGGCGGATTAGTGGAAATGATGATTTGCACACTGAAATGTCGATTTGATGACGCTTGTGCCAAGGAATAAAAAGATAGGTCCTGTTTGCCCATAGGATGGGGAACATTTGTACATCAAAATGTATGTTTGCGTTTAGAATATTAGAAGAATACTGCCTATGCTTGTGTTTTGGATCACATTTTCCGTATCAACACATTCGGATGAACAAAGACGTCTCACCGTGTAAAAGCTCAATAGCTCATTGAAATAAATTGTCAGTGAAGAACTTCAGGTTTCTTCCAATCTCTGTTGCTCCACAAAGTACTGCCAACTCTAAACCTTCAAATGTTGCTAAAATGTACAGTTAATAGACAATGGTTAATGAGCACATATTGATCATCATGTTATCTTTGCCGTTCATCAAATGTTGTCATCACATGAGACAAACCCCAACGCAGTTAAAAAAAGAATTATATATGATACATACATATATACATACATACTCAGACTAATAATAAGAAAATTAGCAATACCATTTCCCTCGTTCAAAAATTTAGAGAACAAAAAGTTTGTCCGTCCATCTTATGAAATATCCGTTCGGACGCTTCATGAATCTTACCTAACAAGTAAAAGGAATCTTTTCAACTGTTGTGCTACATTTACACAATGGTTTGCATACACGTGATGTTGTGAGATATAATTGAATTAGAATTTTTTAAACTAAATAAAAAAACATGGTTATAAAAAGTTGGGGACTCAGAGTATCGTAGAGAAGAAGTTAGGATCCCATAATCACAATACTCAACGTTGGGGACCCCAGCTGGCATCGTTTTACTTCTATTTCCCGAACCGAAGCCGTTGTCATTTTCTCTCTCGCTCTTCCTCTTGCCAATAATTTCTATATACACAAGGGTTTTATATAGGGTTTAAGAAAACTTTGAAAAGATCAGAACCAACAGAAAATTCTTAAAATGGGATTGGATAAAGGGAAGAAGCAGAAATTGGGAGAAGTGAAGGAAGAAAACAATGGGACAGAGCATATTGATAGAGAGCTCGTTAGCACCATTGAAAAGCTCCAAGAAATACAAGATGAGCTTGAAAAGGTTATTTTTTTCTGCTCTTTTTTTTTCCCAATTCTCTGTTGGAAAGGTTAACAATTTTATGGGAAATTATTGCTTTTAGTCGTTATTAATTGTTTGAGGGTTTCTGAACAGAACCCAGAACTTATTATGCTTTATACCCGGTTTGTTTGTAAAATAAATGAATAAATTTTAAATTGTTTCTTTCATTTTTATCATTATTTGGGGTTCTAAAGAGACTCCAGATTTATTTTGATTATTTTTCAAGTAACCATTTGGAGACAGCTTGGTGGTGCTTTTTTTTTTTTTAATCCATTGCGTTTGTTCTTTGTTGGGTTCTGATTATTCTGTGAGGGGAAGTTACTTATAGTAACTCAATTTTAATTGCAAAGCAAGATCGCAAATTTTCCTATAATGAGCTCAGAATAGAGGTTTTGTTGGCTTCTTTGGGGAGTGAATGTTAAAACAAATCAAATTATTGTTGAAGAATTTTATTATGGAAATATTTACTATTCATGAGTAATTATCTAAGAAGCAACAGCACTTTCAACTTCTTCTGCATTTGGTTCTTACATTATTTGGGCTTTCTAAAGAAAATATATTTAGTCATTTTTTGTCAAAACCAAGCAAAATACGTGTATCTTTTTTTAGGTGCTTGTGAAATTGCGAGAAATAGATTTAAAAGTGGTTACTTTGATTTCAATATCACGATTCTTGTTTATTTAACCAATTACTAAATTCTATCTGTTTCCCAACCCAAACGGTTAAGAAAATAATTTTGCAACTTTGGAGGAATTATGGACCAAATTTGAAGAATTCTAAGTTTGCATCATGACTATACATGAGAATATTTCAAATATGTCGTAATTGTATCTTCATTTGTCTTTGGGTGTGTTTGACATCCATTTTGGAGAAAATAAATTTTGAAATAGTGATTGATGGGAAGAATGTGTGGTTAAAAAGTAAGAAAATTTTTTGGGTTTATGTGTAATATTATTTTATTGATAGAATGTGTGGTTGAAATGAAGAAAGAGAAAGAGAATGAGAAAGAGAATCAGAATAGAATGGATGTCAAACAGGGGCAATATATCTTCATGACCCTATTCATAATTAAAAAGTGAATTTTGTCTTATCTAGAAAATGCGGGGATGTCATAATATTATATTGGGTTAATTTACTTTATGTTTACAGATCAATGAAGAAGCAAGTGAAAAGGTTTTGGAAGTGGAACAAAAGTACAATGAGATACGGAAGCCCGTCTATGATAAGAGATGTGATGTCATAAAATCCATTCCTGACTTCTGGTTGACTGCAGTTAGTGATTCATTACACACCCCAACAATGGTAAAAAGAAGAAAAATGACATTTACACTCTTCCTTGCAGTTTTTGAGTCATCCTGCCTTTAGTGAACTTTTGACCGAGGAAGACCAAAAGGTTTCATCCATTTCCTTCACTTTATATAAAATTAAGTATATGCTCAAACAGTTTTAGTATGATCCTCTTTTTGCTATCGTAATAAATTCCTGGTCATTATAATTTGCAGTTTAAGTTCCTCAAATAGCCGGTTATTACTAAATCTGAGCTTTTGGTTATTCACAGACACAGTTAATCTTTTCCTGTTCTCATGTTAGATTTTCAAGTATTTAAGTTCCCTGGAAGTGGAAGACTCCAAAGATGTGAAATCTGGTTACACTATTACATTTGTGAGTCTGTCTTTTCTTCCCATTTGTGGAGATTTATTGATGTGGAAATTCCAATACTATTTTTAGTTTTCATAATCTTTTTGAAACAAGTTAATGTCCATTGTTTTTTCTCCAGAACTTCAATCCAAATCCATATTTTGAAGACACAAAGCTAACAAAAACTTTTAACTTTCTCGAAGAAGGAACAACAAAAATCACCGCCACATCAATAAAATGGAAAGCGGAAATGGTAAGTTTTCATATCATTGTACCTTGTCTTTTCTGTGTCATGTGATTTAAAGTAAATGTGTATTTGGATTGTGAAGGGCATTTCTAATACTGTTACTGAAGAGAAGAAAGGGAACAAGCGATCTCATAATGAGGAAAGGTTGGCTCATTTTCCTCTCTGGGTTTTCTATATGGTGTAATAGTGCTTTGGTTAAATACTGTTTTACCATGTCCAGAGGTCTAAAAATCTTAGCTAACATATACTGTAAATTATAACTACTTTGTTTACATTGTCTAGGGATTATAGATTTTACTGATTCAATAAATGGGACATTAATTTTCTCACAGTTATGGGGTAGGGCTTACAAGCTAAACCATGGCAGTTTTATGTTCCACAGAGTCGGGTATCTGTGTGGCTTTAAGGTTAACATATGAATTCTCTAACTTTTGGACCATTGGTTTTGGTGAAGAAGGTTTCAGTTTTGGATATGGATACTTGGATATGATGTATTGACAATGTAAAAAGAACTAGAGCGGTTAATTTTCAAAAAAACAATACTTGCCAGGCTAAAGTAAGATATGAGAGTAGATACTCCTTGTCACTTGATAAAATATTTTAGTTGTCTAGTCCAGGACATAATGAATGCTTGTAAGGTCTTCCAGTATTTGCATGATGTGTTAGCTATATGTGTACAATGTTAACCAAATTATTCGTGTAATAATTTTGGCTGTTAAAATAACTGTGCTTAAGTTCTCATTATTTCTTAGTTATTGATTGATAGTCCGAATTTGCATTTAAGATGCCATATTTTGTTTTGCTATGATTGCAGTCAGAGTCATCTCACTTGTGGGTTTGCAAATTTCCATTCATGTTGAACGACCCGTTTGTTTTAGTCATTCTCATGATAAAGAGCACAGGGAGTGCGTGTTGTCAACATTTTTGTGCTATCAGTTTGCTCCTTTTACTCGTGTTTCTTTAGATGGCAGTATTTGGTAGTGAAGAGTATACTGCATTTGAGTTTTTCAGTTGTTTCTTACTCTTAAGAGATGGAATAAATATCCTTCACTATTTTACTAAAAATGGCGCTATTTGTAGAGGATGGATATGCAGATACTGGTGTTGAATTATTTTCGTTCGTTGATTTATGCATTATTATATCAAGATCATGGTGTGCGATCACTGACTTGCAATGATCCTAACATGCAGTTGATGCCTGAGTTTTGTTTATTGTACATGTTATCACCATGATGATATGCTTCAGCTGGATAATCTGGATACCTTCTGTCATTTTTTAGCTCAATGGTTTTGAATTAAAACAAAAACTGTTAATTCTCTGTGCACTTTCGGTTGCTCAATTTTGCACTGTTTACAGCTTTTTTACCTGGTTTAGTGATGACCAACAAAAAGATGATGTGGATGAGATTCATGACGAGGTAAATTCTGCCACATGCCAATTATTTCTTGAGCTCGAGGTTACTATTACACTGATGTGGGATGTAAGTCTTCTGTTATATATTTTCATATTCATACATTTTTAAAGCAAATATTTCTTAGCAGATTGCTGAATTAATCAAGGATGATATCTGGCCAAATCCTCTTACATACTTTTTTGATGTAAGCTTCTGTTCACACCCATATTCTGTAGTTGTCCATGACATATTGATGCAAGTTAATTACCAACTCCATGTAATTCGGAGTGTTTCTGATGTCATGTGTTGTATACCCTTTCTGCAGGAGGCAGACGAAGAGGATTCCGAGGATGATGGTGGTGAGGTTAGTGCACAAAATTATTTCTGTACTCGCTCTTTTCCCCACTGTCTACGACTACTAGCGTATGATGTCCAATTTATCACAAATTCCTGATTTTCTGCAAACTTGTGTGTTTATTGCGTACCTAGACGTCTTGTCATCACTTCTTGATTTATTTTTATTTTTATTTTTTTCTGTGGACTCTTTTTGTTCAAAGTTTAGAAACTATAAATTACTTGATCTTTGCGCTGCACTTTTAGTTTTTGAATGCCTTTATCTTATATATTGCTATAGCTTTGAAAAGTTCCTTATATTGCTCCTCAGACTCAACATCCCTTATTGCCTCATGACTGGGAAAACATTTTAATATGGTAGTTAAAAGGTGTGGAATTAATATCTGGAATATGGAATCTTCACTTTTTGAAGCTTCCTAAAACGTTTTATGTGGTGGCCTCAAGAGCACATAGCAGCCCAAGAATCTTATATCTTATGATCTTATCTTCATTAGATATGACGTTTGTTAATGAAGAACACTCTTAAATTTATAACAGTCTGTTGAGTATGATGAACCCCATTCGGATTTTGCTCCAAGTTATTCTCTTAAATTATAGTTTCTTGAATATGGAATCTGCCATACACGTGAAAGTTGGTTTAGTAAATAGCAAGGAATATAGATAATAAACTGTAATAGTCTCTCTCTCTCTCTCTCTCTCTCTCTGTGCGTATTAAATTTTATCGAAAGACTATCTAGTCTATTGTTTGTTCCGTACTTCTTTAATTCTTTAGGGCGGTCAATGGTCATTCTTGATTGTAGAAATCTCTGCAGGAAAAGAGCAGTGATGGCTCTGAAGATGATGATGACAACCAAGATGATGAGGATAATGATGGCGACGAGGATGACAATTGAACCTTTTAGGATGTTTTTCACAGTTTATTTAGTTAGCTTGTAAAGGGGTTCAGAGGTTAAGAGAAAGTAACAATGTTGATGGTGGCTTCAGGGTCTGCTCACTCTGGTTTCTTGATGGATCCTTCAGGACAATGTTCTCTTCTTTTATAGGATTTGTCTACACAACTATTTATCCCTGATGCATTTATACATGATGCTATGGCCTGAGTGTTTATTATGTTATTAAGAGCAACTGGGAATGTATTCGCTGGTCGACGTGCTAAAAATGTTGGAAAATCTGCTGAGAGTGGCAGATAGATAAATTTATCGTTTTCTATAACTTTTACCCTACATCGAATGGATTTTATACCGTTTATGGACTCAAACGTGGAAGATCTATAGTTAAATTTAATCAGCTTTTATTATAGTAAGTGCTTTTTCTGGAAGTTGTTTTGTAAATTTATCTGTTTGGATTTATCTATAAATCTCTTGATAAATTAATGTTTTATCAAATAATCACCCTGCAATCGTCCAACTCAAAATCTATTTTTAAATCTATTTGACGAGTCTAATTGTATTGATCCTACAACGACAATCATTCCACAACGAACATGATCGAAGAGGCATTGAAGTATCACAAATTTTGACTAGGGTGGCAGACATTACTGGGAATCAGAACGAGTAGAGTTTTCTTGGTTTTGAACATGTTTGAATAACTTGTTCTTTTTTCTCATTACAAGTTATCATTTTTGAAAATAATTTTATCAGTAACTTGATTCCAGCTTTGATCAATAGAATGTAAGTAAATGTTTTACCTTGACAAAATATGCTTTACTAGTAAAAAGTAACATCCCTGGGGCTTTCGCATCTATTACTTCCAAGTGAAAGACAAATTTTACCCATTAATTAGGTGCGAACATTCGGTGGGTCGATTTGGCATTTTAATATTTTGAATTACCCATTAGACCTCAGGTATTTCATAAATATAACTATTCGGGTCCACATAATTATTGGCGTCAAACCTGAACTCGAATCGCCATCTTTGTATTGAATTTGGTTCTACCCATAACTTTTTTTTTTTTTAGGGTGATAGTGAATATATTCATTCAATAATATATCTTTTAAAATAGATGGATCTATCTAGTTTTAATGCAATATGAACCTGTGCTCCCCTTTTAAATTATGCAAGACTTAACCATTGTGGTATTTGATGAATGTTAACATTAAATATAACATAATTATATATGTTGGATTTTAGTAAAGTAATAGATATATTTAATTTTTATTGCAGTTGACGATCGACGACCGCCCATGCTCACTCAAGCTCTTGGATCCACTACTGTCATCAATACACATGTCAACACTTTCTTAATTCAATACAAATATGTCACCAAATAACATCCAATATCTAACATTTAATTTTGACTATGCATTTACGTGCCGCCCCCATGAAGGGATTTTGGGGTCGACAACACATAAAGTGCAGCAGAAGTGGCTAAGAATGAGAGTGATATAATTTAATTCGAATTAATGAATCTGATTTATTAGAGTACTTAAGTACTTAAGCTTTGCATATTTGTTACTTGCGGGGTCTAGCAAACTTGCTACTTAGTGGACTAGGTGAATAAATTGTGTAAAAAAGAGAGAAGAAAAAAAAAAAAAAAAGCCTTGGCAAAATATGGGAGATTTTGCAAAATGACCTATGAATAGTGGCTTTTTAAGTTTTTTTGTTAAAAAGTCAGTTTTACCCTTAATGAAATGGGTCATTTATTGCAGATCAAGTCCTCAATCCTTATAATTTTAGGTCATTTAGTGGTATATCCCGCAAAATATGCTTTACTATTGAAAAGTAGCATCCCTGGCAACAAGAAGACAAATCTTGCCCATCAATGATAAGAACACAAGAAGACATAATTTTGCTAGGAAGCATCTTTGGGAACTAGCAATTGGCAATTTAGTACAAGTATGCAACGGAAATATCAACTGATACAGAGATCAAATGGCAAACTTAGCCATTCCCACAGTTGATTTTTCACCTTTCTTCACAGACAGTGATGAGGATGGAAAGACGAATGCAGAAGGAATAATTAAACAAGCTTGCTCAAACTATGGTTTCTTCCGAATTGTGAATCATGGCATACCCTGCGATTTGATAAACCGAGCCCTGAAGCTTTCAGAGACATTCTTTGCGTTCCCAGATGAGGAGAAGCTCAAATATAGCCCGGGATCGGGCGCACCTCTTCCCGCTGGTTATAATAAGCAGCCAGAGAACTCTGCTGATAAAAATGAATACTTACTCATGTTTCCACCTCAGTCCACCTTCAATGTTTTGCCCACAAATCCGCCTGAGTTCAGGTATAGAATCTTTCATTTTAAAAAGCTATTTGTCGCCCTACAAACAGGGTTGTTTCCTCAGTAATTCTTAGACAGAATTGTTATTTTAGTATTCTTGACACAGAAAAAGATCTTTGTATTGTTTTATGATTCTAGAGAAGTACTTGAAGAGATGTTCACCTATTTTGCTAGAACTGGTGAACTTATAGAGAGAATACTGAATGATTGTTTGGGTCTCCCACCCAACTTTTTGAAAGAATTCAACAATGATAGAAGCTGGGATTTCATGGCGGCTTTGTACTACTTCCCAGCAACTCGAATTGAAAACAATGGCATATCTGAACACGAAGATGGAAACTGCATCACCTTCGTGATTCAGGACAAAGTTGGAGGTCTCGAGGTCAAAAAAGATGGAGAATGGATTCCAGTTACTCCAGCTGAAGGCAGCATAGTTGTCAACATAAGCGACGTTATTCAGGTTCATCAACTAACTCTTGAAGTAACTCGTCTACATACACACCCTTTTATGTGAAAACTGGGTTTATTTTTCGTCATATGCAGACCACATGCACAATCTTCATAAATGCTTCTTTAAATACTGGCTTTCTTGCTAGCTTGTCAAATGATTTCTTCTTGTCTGATAAACTTGAGCTATTGATTTCCCCTTGAGAAAATTTCAGGTGTTAACGAATAACAAATTTAAGAGTGCTACTCACAGAGTAGTGAGATCAAAAGAGAGAAGCCGCCACTCTTTTGCATTTTTCTACAACTTACAGGGAGATAAGTGGGTTGAACCATTGCCACAATTCAGCGAAGAAATAGGGGAGGCACCAAAATACAGAGGATTCTTGTACAAGGATTACCAAGCTTTGAGAATGAGAAACAAGACTCATCCACCATCAAAACCAGAAGATGCCATCCACATTACACATTATGCAATTTCCACCTAAAAACAAAAACAAGAAAAACTTCTTGCTTTTTTTGTTCAATCAGTGTCAGTAATCAGGTTTTCCTTTCTTTTTATTTTAGACTTCGTCAATGCTCTGCGGTTTGCACTGCACTCGTGATGCAAAAGATGGATCGAAAAAATAGTCCAAATTTTTATGAAATGTTGTAACACCTATGTTGTGAATAGTACATGAGTGGCTTGAATATAATTTCATTTTGTGCGGATTTCTAATACTTCTTGATCATATTCCAGGCTGAGCACGATATTGTTATGCTATGATGGATATTTCATGTTCAATAATATATAATGTTAGGCCCCAAACCAAGTATTTCTAAGGATCGAAGTTTACAAACACCATAAAAATTACAGAAATTAAAGGAAATCAGAACACAAAGATTTTTTCACCCTGAAGGGCCCAGATACTCAGTCTTGAGACCTAATCACCCGTTAGGCATCTGCAACGAGATATAGCTCTAGATCCAGTAAGAAAAACCAAGAAATAGTACAAATGTACGAAGAAACCAACAGTTTCTTCGAGTTCTATCTAGCCTCTATTACAAACCGTAATCACATAACCCTCAATCTCTAAATAACTATACATAACAACCAGATATTCACAAAGAACAGAGATTGAAGAAACCACAAAGATCGATTACAGATTTACAAGAAAAATCCCTAACTATCACTCAGAGAAGGGGGAGAACAAAGAGACTCAAAAGATAGAACAATCTAGAAGCCAAAAAAGAGCTAAGATCAAGTCACGTATCTATCCAACTGAATAGTCACCATCCAAGGATCATAATGAAGTCATGTGTATGATAGATTCTCAACCATAAACAGGCCAAATCCGTCTCCACTTAAATGAGGCCAAATTTCACAGATGGCTCAACATGCCAAGTAATAGTGAGGTAGTCCAAATACATTAACAATCTCCACCTTGCTGAGCTATTCCTTGGTCTTCATAATGGATCTAGTCATCTATATATACATTGCTTCATTTGCTCTAAAACATGTAAAAAAAAATTGTTAGTTAAACGATTTTCATCAACAATACTTGAAGTTCTAATGATCACATCAACGGGTGTTATTCAGAATCTTCAAGCAATTTCTAAATTTATTTAAAGGTTATACCTTAGTCCCCAAATCTGAAGGATTAAATTCTGTAGGAATTTTAACTAAACTGATCAAACCTTTTTCTACCATGTTTTTACAAAATGAAACTTAATGTCTAAGTGTTTAGTTTTATCATGATAAACATGATTTTTACTCAAATAAATGACACTTTGATTATCAGCATAATTCCTAACAGAATCGTTCACAAAGCCAATTTCATTTAACGAACCTCTTAATCATATACTTTTTTTTTACAGCTTCACATGCAACAATATATTTAGCTTCAATTGAGGACAAGTCAACTAACTTTTATAACTGTGACTTTCCACTAATGCAACCATCACGTAAAGTGAAAATATAAGAAGATGTGGATCTTCTTTTATCTAAGTCACTAGCAAAGTCAGAATCAGTGTAACCTTTTAATTTTATCCTTTCATTGATTCTTTTAAATTCTAAACCTAATTCAGAAGAGCCTTTAAGGTATCTTAACATCCATTTCATAGCCAGCCAATGTGTTTCACCTGGATTGGCCATAAACCTGCTTATAATGCTAATTCCATGTGCTAAGTTAGGTCTAGTACACACCATAAGATACATCATTGAACCTACAGTGTTTGCAAAAGGTACTTTTTCCATTCTTCTAAATTCATCTTTTGTTTTAGGTGATTGTTCACTAGTCAATTTAAAATGATTAGCAATAGGCAAATAAACAAGTTTACACTCAAATATAGAAAATTTTTCAAGTATTTTCTTCACATAAGAGCTTTGTTTTAACAGTAATATGCAATTATCCCTATCTCTTTCTATTTCCATTCCAAGAATCCTTTTAGCATGTTCAAAATCTTTCATTTCAAATTCAGATTTCAATTTTGACTTAATGAAATCAATTTCAGATCTATCATGACAAGCAAGTAACATATCATCAACATATGAAAGGAAATAAATGGATTCAGGTCCACCTGACCCTTTGAAAAAGAAACACGAATCATAATTGCTTTTTACAAAACCCAATGTTTGCACATAAGAGTTAAATTTGATGTACCACTGCCTAGGGGCTTGTTTCAGCCCATAGAATGATTTTTTCAACAGACAAATCTTTTCAATTTTGGACTTAACTTCAAACCCAAAAGGTCGATTTATATATATAGTCACATCAAGGTCACCATTCAGAAAAACTATTTTAACATCAAGTTGATCCAATTCCCAGTTAAAGTGAGCAGTGAGAGTTAATAGAATTCTGATAGAGGTATACTTGGCTTAGGAAAGAATATTTCATTATAGTCCACTCCTTTTTTTTTGAGTGAACCCTTAGCCACTAGTCTGACTTTATACCTTTTACTTTTTGGATTAGAATATCTTTGTTTAATTTTAAAAATCCACTTACAATCAACTATCTTTTGATTTTTAGGTCGGTAAACCAAAACCCAAGTCCCATTCTTAATAAGAGAGTCTATTTCTTCATTAATAGCCTTTTTCAGAGTTTTGAGTCAGAACATTTAATGGCATCATCAAAGGTAGCAGGTTCTGAATTCAAGGAGTCAAGAGCAGAAAATAAGGTAACAAATTCATCATTATTGAATCTGGTGGAGGGTCTTATTTCTCTCATCTCTTTGTCTCTAGTTAGTTGATAATCAGCAAAATTAATATCAGCAGATTCATTTTCATTTTTATATTTAGTTTGCTCATGATATGGCTCAATTTGAATAGACTCCATCTCAATAGAATCATCTTGATTAATAACATTTTCAGTTTGATTTTCCAAGACAGTTTCTTTAACATGTACAGTTTCAGAATTTTTAAGATTAGATGATTCATTACAAAGCATGTCAATTTCATTAAAGATGACATTTCTACTAACAATCACTTTATAACCATTTTGGCATTTGACCCACAGTCCATACACTTTAACTTCCTCTCCATAGCCCAAGAAAACACATTTTAAGGACATAGGTTCAAGTTTACCTTCACTTTGATGTGAATAAGCAGTGCAACCAAAAATTTTGAGTTTGTTGTAATATCAGGAACTTGAAAATCAATGGCACTGGATGAACTTCTATTTATTAGACAACTTGTAATTTTTAGGGCTTCTCTACAGAAAAACTTTGGAAGACCAGAACTGTGCAGCATACACCTTACCTTTTCCAATATGTATCTCTACATTCTCTCAGCAATAACATTTTGCTGAGGAGAGTATGTTATAGTTCCGTGTCTTAGAATTCTAGATTCTTTACAAAATAAATCAAATTCTGAATTATAAAACTCAAGTCCATTATCAGTTCTTAATGTTTTGATTTTCTTGTTGGTTTGGTTTTCAATCATTGGTTTTCATTGTTTGAAGGTTTTTAAACTATGAGATTTTTGTTTTAGAAGAGTCATCTACTATAAGTAGATAGAACCTAAATCCACTTAGGGTATTTACAGATGCTAGAACCCACAGGTCAGCATCTAAATAGTCCAAAATAGATGTGGATTTTTGGCTTTCTGTTTTGAAATATAGCATTTTCTATTTTCCAAATACACTGTTTTCAAAAAATTCCAATTTTTTAATATTGTCATTCCAAAACAACCAAGATTATTCAAAATAGTTCGTCCCTTTTCTGAAATGTGGCCAAGTTTTTTATGCCAAATTAAAGACTTGTTAGACTCTAAGTTTAAGGTTGCAGAACAATGGCTTACCATAGATTCAGCAGAGACAGTGTATATACCATTTACTTTCAGAGAGGAGATCACAATTTTATTACCTTGTTTAAGTCTCAGCAGACCTTTATGAATTATGATATTGTACTTGTCATCTAATTATTCCAAAGAAATTAGATTTCTTTTAAGCTCAGGCACATATCTTATGTTATCAAGTTCAAGAATGTAGTTATTCAACAACGATTTAATATTTTCAATTCCCTTTATTTGACAACTCATGTCAATTCCCATTTGAATTTGTCCTCCATTGAGGTCAACGAACTCAGAAAAACATTCTTTAGTTGAGCACATGTGAAATGTACAGCTAGAGTCAATGACCCATTCCTTTGGGGCTCTTTTTGTGGTACTCACAAGAACCGTCCATTGAATATCAGGTTCATTCTTACAGGCCAGAGCTGCGAAACCATCAGAATTGTTCCTATCTTTCATATCTGAGATTTTCTTGAAACAATCTTTTATTATGTGTCTTGTTTTACCACAGTAATAATATTTTCTGATTTGATTCTTGGATTTCAAATGACTTTTATTCTTCTCTTTGAAGATTGTTTCTTATTATGATTCAGATCCTCTTTTATGTGCAACCATTCCCCATATTTAGAGTCTTTTGACTCAACTTTCAGCTCAAGATCTTTATTCCTTAGGGCTAATGTTATTATATGAATAGTAAGATCTTTCCCTCCATATTTTAAGGCATTTCTGATTTCATTATATTCATCACTAAGAGAGTTCAATAAAGCAACAACTTGTTGGTCATTAGAAAGCTTCTCATTACAATTTGCTAAGTCCTGAATCACTTTTGTGAATCTGTTAAGATTTTCTTCCAAATCAGAGGAGTGATCAAATCTAAAGTTATAAAATTGCCTTAAGAGACAACATTTGTTAGGCATGATCTTAGTTATATAAAGTGCTTCTAACTTAGTCCACAAAGCCTGTGCAGAGGTAGTCTCACCAACTTTTCTAATCACGTTATCAAATAAGTGTAAGAAAATTGAACTCCATAAAGTATCATCTAATTCTTGTCTTCCATAAGCACTAGTTTCTGTAGTCCATTGACCATCAAGGGCTGCAACACATCTTTGTTGTAGTAATAGAGCCCTCATCTTTTGGCGTCAAAGACTGAAGTCTCCAGTCCCATTCCAAGTATCAAGTTCAAACTTATGTGCAGTAGACACGATGACAAATATATACACTAAATTTCAATTATACAGTACACGAAGTATAATGATTCAGACATTTTACAGAAATGAACAAGATAAGTGAACAGCTGAATTAAGCAGATAATAACTGATATATCTTTTATTTTGCAACTCACAAATCAATGTTACAATAATTCAAAAATATTGTTATCGTTTGAAAAGGGTTTAAAGACTGGTAACCATGGGTTCCACTGCTCCCTCAGATTCCCAGATTCTCGCAGGAGATCTTGGACAAAGGAAAGCAATGGATGATCACTTACCTTAATAACCAAT